CCTCTGCTTAGGGCTTTATTCCGGACAAGCTTAAAAAGGTGTGCGGAAATCGTCGATTTCCGCACACCTCTGCTTAGGATTTTATTTCGAACAAGCTTAAAAAAGGTGTGCGGAAATCGTCGATTTCCCGCACACCTCTGCTTCAGGGCTTGATTCCGGACAAGCTTAAAAAGGTGTGCGGAAATCGTCGATTTCCGCACACCTCTGCTTCAGGGCTTGATTCCGGACAAGCTAAAAAAAGGTGTGCGGAAATCGTCGATTTCCGCACACCTCTGCTTCCGGGCTTGATTCCGGACAAGCTAAAAAAGGGTGTGCGGAAATCGTCGATTTCCGCACACCTCTGCTTCCGGGCTTGATTCCGGACAAGCTTAAAAAAGGTGTGCGGAAATCGTCGATTTCCCGCACACCTCTGCTTAGGATTTTATTTCGAACAAGCTTAAAAAAAGGTGTGCGGAAATCGTCGATTTCCGCACACCTCTGCTTAGATTTTATTTCGAACAAGCTTAAAAAAAGGTGTGCGGAAATCGTCGATTTCCGCACACCTCTGCTTAGATTTTATTCCGGACAAGCTTAAAAAGGTGTGCGGAAATCGTCGATTTCCGCACACCTCTGCTTAGATTTTATTTCGAACAAGCTTAAAAAAAGGTGTGCGGAAATCGTCGGTTTCCGCACACCTCTGCTTCAGGGCTTGATTCGGGACAAGCTTAAAAAAAGGTGTGCGGAAATCGTCGATTTCCGCACACCTCTGCTTCAGGGCTTGATTCCGGACAAGCTTAAAAAAAGGTGTGCGGAAATCGTCGATTTCCGCACACCTCTGCTTCCGGGCTTGATTCCGGACAAGCTTAAAAAAAGGTGTGCGGAAATCGTCGATTTCCGCACACCTCTGCTTAGATTTTATTTCGAACAAGCTTAAAAAAAGGTGTGCGGAAATCGTCGATTTCCGCACACCTCTGCTTCAGGGCTTGATTCGGGACAAGCTTAAAAAAAGGTGTGCGGAAATCGTCGATTTCCGCACACCTCTGCTTCCGGGCTTGATTCCGGACAAGCTTAAAAAAAGGTGTGCGGAAATCGTCGATTTCCGCACACCTCTGCTTCAGGGCTTGATTCCGGACAAGCTTAAAAAAAGGTGTGCGGAAATCGTCGATTTCCGCACACCTCTGCTTAGGATTTTATTTCGAACAAGCTTAAAAAAGGTGTGCGGAAATCGTCGATTTCCGCACACCTCTGCTTCAGGGCTTGATTCCGGACAAGCTTTAAAAAAGGTGTGCGGAAATCGTCGATTTCCGCACACCTCTGCTTAGATTTTATTTCGAACAAGCTTAAAAAAGGTGTGCGGAAATCGTCGATTTCCGCACACCTCTGCTTCAGGGCTTGATTCCGGACAAGCTTAAAAAAAGGTGTGCGGAAATCGTCGATTTCCGCACACCTCTGCTTCAGGGCTTGATTCCGGACAAGCTTAAAAAAAGGTGTGCGGAAATCGTCGATTTCCGCACACCTCTGCTTAGGATTTTATTTCGAACAAGCTTAAAAAAGGTGTGCGGAAATCGTCGATTTCCGCACACCTCTGCTTAGATTTTATTTCGAACAAGCTTAAAAAAAGGTGTGCGGAAATCGTCGATTTCCGCACACCTCTGCTTAGATTTTATTTCGAACAAGCTTAAAAAAAGGTGTGCGGAAATCGTCGATTTCCGCACACCTCTGCTTCAGGGCTTGATTCCGGACAAGCTTAAAAAAAGGTGTGCGGAAATCGTCGATTTCCGCACACCTCTGCTTCAGGGCTTGATTCCGGACAAGCTTAAAAAAGGTGTGCGGAAATCGTCGATTTCCGCACACCTCTGCTTAGGATTTTATTTCGAACAAGCTAAAAAAAGGTGTGCGGAAATCGTCGATTTCCGCACACCTCTGCTTCAGGGCTTGATTCCGGACAAGCTTAAAAAAGGTGTGCGGAAATCGTCGATTTCCGCACACCTCTGCTTAGATTTTATTCCGAACAAGCTTAAAAAAAGGTGTGCGGAAATCGTCGATTTCCGCACACCTCTGCTTAGATTTTATTCCGAACAAGCTTCAAAAAGGTGTGCGGAAATCGTCGATTTCCGCACACCTCTGCTTAGATTTTATTCCGAACAAGCTTAAAAAAGGTGTGCGGAAATCGTCGATTTCCGCACACCTCTGCTTCAGGGCTTTATTTCGAACAAGCTTCAAAAAAAGGTGTGCGGAAATCGTCGATTTCCGCACACCTCTGCTTAGATTTTATTTCGAACAAGCTTAAAAAAAGGTGTGCGGAAATCGTCGATTTCCGCACACCTCTGCTTCAGGGCTTGATTCCGGACAAGCTTAAAAAAGGTGTGCGGAAATCGTCGATTTCCGCACACCTCTGCTTAGATTTTATTTCGAACAAGCTTAAAAAAGGTGTGCGGAAATCGTCGATTTCCGCACACCTCTGCTTCAGGGCTTGATTCCGGACAAGCTTAAAAAAGGTGTGCGGAAATCGTCGATTTCCGCACACCTCTGCTTAGATTTTATTTCGAACAAGGTTAAAAAAAGGTGTGCGGAAATCGTCGATTTCCGCACACCTCTGCTTAGATTTTATTTCGAACAAGCTTAAAAAAAGGTGTGCGGAAATCGTCGATTTCCGCACACCTCTGCTTCAGGGCTTGATTCCGGACAAGCTTAAAAAAAGGTGTGCGGAAATCGTCGATTTCCGCACACCTCTGCTTAGATTTTATTTCGAACAAGCTTAAAAAAGGTGTGCGGAAATCGTCGATTTCCGCACACCTCTGCTTCAGGGCTTGATTCCGGACAAGCTTAAAAAAGGTGTGCGGAAATCGTCGATTTCCGCACACCTCTGCTTAGATTTTATTTCGAACAAGCTTAAAAAAGGTGTGCGGAAATCGTCGATTTCCGCACACCTCTGCTTAGATTTTATTTCGAACAAGCTTAAAAAAAGGTGTGCGGAAATCGTCGATTTCCGCACACCTCTGCTTCAGGGCTTGATTCCGGACAAGCTTAAAAAAAGGTGTGCGGAAATGGTCGATTTCCGCACACCCCTGCTTCAGGGCTTGATTCCGGACAAGCTTAAAAAGGTGGTGCGGAAATCGTCGATTTCCGCACACCTCTGCTTAGATTTTATTTCGAACAAGCTTAAAAAAAAGGTGTGCGGAAATCGTCGATTTCCGCACACCTCTGCTTCAGGGCTTGATTCCGGACAAGCTTAAAAAAAGGTGTGCGGAAATCGTCGATTTCCGCACACCTCTGCTTAGATTTTATTTCGAACAAGCTTAAAAAAAGGTGTGCGGAAATCGTCGATTTCCGCACACCTCTGCTTCAGGGCTTGATTCCGGACAAGCTTAAAAAAGGTGTGCGGAAATCGTCGATTTCCGCACACCTCTGCTTAGATTTTATTTCGAACAAGCTTAAAAAAAGGTGTGCGGAAATCGTCGATTTCCGCACACCTCTGCTTCAGGGCTTGATTCCGGACAAGCTTAAAAAAGGTGTGCGGAAATCGTCGATTTCCGCACACCTCTGCTTAGATTTTATTCCGAACAAGCTTAAAAAGGTGTGCGGAAATCGTCGATTTCCGCACACCTCTGCTTAGGATTTTATTCCGAACAAGCTTAAAAAGGTGTGCGGAAATCGTCGATTTCCGCACACCTCTGCTTAGATTTTATTTCGAACAAGCTTAAAAAAAGGTGTGCGGAAATCGTCGATTTCCGCACACCTCTGCTTAGATTTTATTTCGAACAAGCTTAAAAAAGGTGTGCGGAAATCGTCGATTTCCCGCACACCTCTGCTTAGATTTTATTTCGAACAAGCTTAAAAAAAGGTGTGCGGAAATCGTCGATTTCCGCACACCTCTGCTTAGATTTTATTTCGAACAAGCTTAAAAAGGTGTGCGGAAATCGTCGATTTCCGCACACCTCTGCTTCAGGGCTTGATTCCGGACAAGCTTAAAAAAAGGTGTGCGGAAATCGTCGATTTCCGCACACCTCTGCTTCAGGGCTTGATTCCGGACAAGCTTAAAAAAAGGTGTGCGGAAATCGTCGATTTCCGCACACCTCTGCTTCAGGGCTTTATTTCGACCCAGCTATATCTCGCTTACTCTCTCCCTCCGTTTCTCTCGTCCGATCGCTCTCTATATCTCGCTTACTCTCTCCCTCGGTTTCTCTAGTCCGATCGCTCTCTATATCTCGCTTACTCTCTCCCTCCGTTTCTCTAGTCCGATCGCTCTTTATCTCTCGCTTACTCTCTCGCCCTCCGTTTCTCTAGTCCGATCGCTCTCTATATCTCGCTTACTCTCTCGCCTTGTGGCAACCTGTATACACAGCTTCCCGGCCGACGCAGCATTTCTGTGGCCCCGTCGGAGTAGGCCAGCAGAACTATACGTCTTCTCCTCTGTACGTTCGTAGCTAACAATACTGAATGTATAGAGAATAAATTGTGAATACGCTGTCTTCTTATATAGATTAGAGAGATACCTACTTTATTACTGTTACTTATTATATAGATAGCAATAGGGGGGAGAGAGGAGAGAGATAATAAGTCGAGGAGAGCTAACTAGAGGTAACGGTCTAAGGCATACTTGGAGGAGGGCCTTTCAGCCATATTCGAGGAGGGAGTCCCATGGGACTGTCCAGGGGAGGGAATCCGGGGAAAAGTGGGCGGAACCATTAGAGAGGTGGGAAGCTGTGTATACAGGTTGCCACAGAGTTGTTAGCATACATATTTTTGAAGCAAGCGCGATGACGGTTCACGGATGATTAGGCGAATCAGATGAGGCATCGAGTGGTCATCACGGCCATGGGGTGCCTGACGCCTTTGGAAGGGAAAAGCCGCGCTTTGGTCAGGGTTGGAGTGAGGGCAGGTATGTCTTGAAAGAAGCTTCAGTTCATTGAATATTTAGATCGGCGTTGAGGCACAATGCTCAACTTGGATTCGTCGTCGGCCAAATCGCTGAAGAAACGCCCGGCTTTGAAAGGTGGACGCCCGGGCAACGGCGAGAAATGAGTAGAACAAGTCAGCTGGCGCTATTGGCTGCCGAAGAGGTATTCTAGGCCGAACGGATAGCAATCCTCTATCTTTTGTCGTCATTAATAATTTTAGTGTCTCGAACAAGCCGGATTCGACGATTCTTTCGACCACACGGAGACGCTGGTAAATGTGGGAACTGGAGTTGCAGACCTGGAACACATTGGCGAGGCGACGAAACTGGTAGTCTTGGCTTCTATTGCCTTCATTTATCCGATTCCGCCAGATTGCTAGCGGGCAAGCCCGTCGAGTCTCACCATACTTTGTGCCGAGAATCCTCAACAATCTACCGACAGGCTACATTTGTATGAAGTAAATTCTAGCGCGTATCGGAGTTTCGAATAGCGTTCAGCTCCCGGTGTAATTCGGCTTTTTCCTCACCTCGAAGAATTAAACTCCATTTTGCAGATACGGTATGAAGGGCGGCGCGGAGAGCGCTGCGACGGCATGTGCTACGGGCGTACATTGTATCGGCAGTGCCTTCCGCTCGATACGTCACGGTTACTCGAGACGTGCACTGGACGGCGGGTCTGAGGCTGCCGTCACCCAACTGGGCCTCATCGGTTTCGATAGGTATCCATTGAAAAAGTTCTGTAAAGCATGATTGTGTAGAATGCGAGCCCTGGCCCGTGGCGACGATCCCACGATCTCGTGCCCCTTTGACAACGGCAGAAGCGGGTTCGTAATGGCTGAAGGTGCAGGGATATTGATGCTGGAAAAGTGAGCCCGCTAGTTCCAATTTTGTGACCGTGATTTTTGAAAGGCTGGAAGATGCGCAAGAACGTGGTGCTGCAATACTTGCTGAAATTGAGGGCTATGGTTGGTCACCGTTTCTTGGCTCTATAATTTATTTTGAAAGGTCTCTTCTGACTGTTATCACATCTCATCACCGGACCCAAGCGGCATTGGGGCACGGCTCAGCATGGAAAGAGCGTTAGAAGACTCTGGGTGCGTAATCAGAATTGAAGATTTCTTGATTTTGTGGACGCCTTGAACTCGCTGGAACGCCAAAAAACGAAACACGCGTTTTTAGGGCCTCCACCGCCGAAATCGGTTACGTGAACGCCCATGCTACTTCAACGCCAACAGGTGATGGCATCGAGGCCAAAGCCGTCGGTGACGTCTTCAAAGCAAATCCCGTGACCGTCAGCAGTATAAAAGGTCAGCACCTTTACAGTTACCTTTAATTTCGAATTCAGGCCATCTTGGGCATCTACTGGCCGCAGCCGGCGCTGTCGAATCGATCGCTACGGTTCTGTCGATGAACAACCGGTTGATCCCCGGGAATCTGAACTTGAACAAAACAGATTTGATAACGGAGATAGTTAGGTTCGTGGTTTCTCGTATTCCAATACGTTATTCTCAGAATACCAAATACCAACGTACAATGGAACGATCTCCCTTCGAAAGCGATCGTCAATTCTTTTGGCTTTGGCGGCACCAACGCTCCGCTCATTCTTTCCCCGGTTAAATAATCATTTTGAGATCTTCGACATCTGCGATTTCAAACTCATTTTATTATAAAAACTTCATGTATAAAACGAGAAACAATGAACCAAAGGTGCGTCAGTGAGAAAAATACAACAACAGATAACATTCATTAAAAGTCACAGGTGTAAACAATGAAAAGCAAAACTATGTTGGTGCCCATCAACACGCTAGTTAGACTAATATTTACGAGAGAAAATTGTGGGTCACAGGAAAAGACAAGTCTTCTAAAGCCTTTTAAAGTCAAGCCAGTCGTCCCCATCGTTAGACGGCTGTTTTCGCGGATGTCGATGAGAACTGCTGGGCACTTCGTCGTAGTCGTTTCCCTATTCAAGCGAATTCAAAATAATTTGAAGGTGATTACCGGAAAGATATTTGCCATGTCGCGGTAGCGCTTGTTTGAGTTGCCGAGAAAAGCCGGCTGTTTCGGAGTCCTGGATAGCACATCGCGACCTAAACCCGATAAATCGAGAGGGAAATTCTATCTCGAGGGAAAGGAAATGCAGAAACCTGTTATCCATCACATTGTCAAAGTCCTGGGAATCGTTGTGACCGGGGTCAGATGGAAGAGATCGCTCTAAAAGTCAGAATCAAAAAAATATTCATCACGATGCAAAAACCTCGCATGGGGGCGACGCGGAATGAGCTGGAATGGTCGTATGAGGCGAAATCTTGATTTTGATCGAATTGTGCGTCGTCGTGGGCAGAAGAAGGTTGAGTGCCTGAAATTATCAATCAAAGGACGCTAAACACAAACCGATAATTTCGTCTGGAACCGACTGAAACCAGAGCTGAACCTCATTTGAAAACTATACCTAATTCATGGTCATCCAAATGTAATGTTCTCATCTCATCATCATTCAATGCTTTTTCGACTTGCGGCGTCGAGCCAATGTCTCCATATCGTCCGGCCTCTGGCGTCCCTGGCGTACCAGGCGTACTAAAGCACTTTGTGGGAATGAGACGAGCATTATTACCTTGGTGAACTGAACAGATCCGCTTCGTCGAGACTAAATACAAATAGTGCACGAAAAATGGGACATACGTTTGATTTACTATGCCTTGAGCTGCCAGCTGGTCTTCTTCATCAAAACATTTTCGCCACGTTCCGCCATGAAGTCACTGCAAAGATTTTTTTAGGCGATATATAGAAAATTACCATTTATCACCCCATCCAGCTCAAATAATGATGTTTTGTCGTGCAGTATCGCTCTCTATCTCTCGCTTACTCTCGCCCTCCGTTGCTCTCGTCCGATCGCTCTCTATATCTCGCCTACTCCCTCCCTCCGTTTCTCTCGTCCGATCGCTCTCTATATCTCGCTTACTCTCTCCCTCCATTTCTCTCGTCCGATCGCTCTCTATCTCTCGCTTACTCTTCCCTCCGTTTCTCTCGTCCGATCGCTTTCTATCTCACGCTTACTCTCTCCCTCCGTTTCTCTCGTCCGATCGCTCTCTATCCTCTCGCTTACTCTCTCCCTCCGTTTCTCTCGTCCGATCGCTCTCTATCTCTCGCTTACTCTCTCGCCCTCCGATGCTCTCGTCCGATCGCTCTCTATCTCTCGCTTACTCTCTCGCCCTCCGTTTCTCTCGTCCGATCGCTCTCTATCTCTCGCTTACTCTCTCGCCCTCCGTTTCTCTCGTCCGATCGCTCTCTATATCTCGCTTTACTCTCTCCCTCCGTTTCTCTCGTCCGAACGCTCTCTATCTCTCGCGTACTCTCTCGCCCTCCGATGCTCTCGTCCGATCGCTCTCTATCTCTCGCTTACTCTCTCGCCTTTGTGGCAACCTGTATACACAGCTTCCCGGCCGACGCAGCATTTCTGTGGCCCCGTCGGAGTAGGCCAGCAGAACTATACGTCTTCTCCTCTGTACGTTCGTAGCTAACAATACTGAATGTATAGAGAATAAATTGTGAATACGCTGTCTTCTTATATAGATTAGAGAGATACCTACTTTATTACTGTTACTTATTATATAGATAGCAATAGGGGGGAGAGAGGAGAGAGATAATAAGTCGAGGAGAGCTAACTAGAGGTAACGGTCTAAGGCATACTTGGAGGAGGGCCTTTCAGCCATATTCGAGGAGGGAGTCCCATGGGACTGTCCAGGGGAGGGAATCCGGGGAAAAGTGGGCGGAACCATTAGAGAGGTGGGAAGCTGTGTATACAGGTTGCCACAGAGTTGTTAGCATACATATTTTTGAAGCAAGCGCGATGACGGTTCACGGATGATTAGGCGAATCAGATGAGGCATCGAGTGGTCATCACGGCCATGGGGTGCCTGACGCCTTTTGGAAGGGGAAAAGCCGCGCTTTGGTCAGGGTTGAGTGAGGGCAGGTATGTCTTGAAAGAAGCTTCAGTTCATTGAATATTTAGATCGGCGTTGAGGCACAATGCTCAACTTGGATTCGTCGTCGGCCAAATCGCTGAAGAAACGCCCGGCTTTGAAAGGTGGACGCCCGGGCAACGGCGAGAAATGAGTAGAACAAGTCAGCTGGCGCTATTGGCTGCCGAAGAGGTATTCTAGGCCGAACGGATAGCAATCCTCTATCTTTTGTCGTCATTAATAATTTTAGTGTCTCGAACAAGCCGGATTCGACGATTCTTTCGACCACACGGAGACGCTGGTAAATGTGGGAACTGGAGTTGCAGACCTGGAACACATTGGCGAGGCGACGAAACTGGTAGTCTTGGCTTCTATTGCCTTCATTTATCCGATTCCGCCAGATTGCTAGCGGGCAAGCCCGTCGAGTCTCACCCATACTTTGTGCCGAGAATCCTCAACAATCTACCGACAGGCTACATTTGCATGAAGTAAATTCTAGCGCGTATCGGAGTTTCGAATAGCGTTCAGCTCCAGGTGTAATTCGGCTTTTCCTCACCTCGAAGAATTAAACCCCATTTTGCAGATACGGTATGAAGGGCGGCGCGAGAGCGCTGCGACGGCATAGTGCTACGGGCGTACATTGCATCGGCAGTGCCTTCCGCTCGATACGTCACGGATTACTCGAGACGTGCGCTGGACGGCGGGTCTGAGGCCGCCGTCACCCAACTGGGCCTCATCGGTTTCGATAGGTATCCATTGAAAAAGTGCTCTGTAAAGCATGATTGTGTAGAATGCGAGCCCTGGCCCGTGGCGACGATCCCACGATCTCGTGCCCCTTTGACAACGGCAGAAGCGGGTTCGTAATGGCTGAAGGTGCAGGGATATTGATGCTGGAAAAGTGAGCCCGCTAGTTCCAATTTTGTGACCGTGATTTTTGAAAGGCTGGAAGATGCGCAAGAACGTGGTGCTGCAATACTTGCTGAAATTGAGGGCTATGGTTGGTCACCGTTTCTTGGCTCTATAATTTATTTTGAAAGGTCTCTTCTGACTGTTATCACATCTCATCACCGGACCCAAGCGGCATTGGGGCACGGCTCAGCATGGAAAGAGCGTTAGAAGACTCTGGGTGCGTAATCAGAATTGAAGATTTCTTGATTTTGTGGACGCCTTGAACTCGCTGGAACGCCAAAAAACGAAACACGCGTTTTTAGGGCCTCCACCGCCGAAATCGGTTACGTGAACGCCCATGCTACTTCAACGCCAACAGGTGATGGCATCGAGGCCAAAGCCGTCGGTGACGTCTTCAAAGCAAATCCCGTGACCGTCAGCAGTATAAAAGGTCAGCACCTTTACAGTTACCTTTAATTTCGAATTCAGGCCATCTTGGGCATCTACTGGCCGCAGCCGGCGCTGTCGAATCGATCGCTACGGTTCTGTCGATGAACAACCGGTTGATCCCCGGGAATCTGGAAACTTGAACAAAACAGATTTGATAACGGA